GGCCCATGATACTATACTTATAATAATAATAAGGAACCCCCAAAATAGCATAGGCAATTGTTTGGGAACTATAGTAATCGCGGCGTAAGTGTCGGTACCATATAGAAAAGACAACCCCTCATGCTGCCTCCTCGTCGGAGACCGAGGGCGAGAAGAGCGAACCTGGGCAGAACCCTTATGGTTTATAGGGTTTCGGGTTTAGGGCTTGGGGTTGAAGAGGGTTTATGGTTTGGGATTGAAGAGGGTGTTTAGTAGAACCCTTGTAGACTAGAACCATGTAGAACTGTAGAACCCTTACCCTGAGCATCGAATATTGGTTCCGATCAATACAGTATGGCACCGGATTGATTTCAGTGTAAAATCCGTGTAGACAGTTGGCTTTATCTGATAAATCAACATGAAATACTATATGTATATAAAATCAACCCTGAAATCAATAGAAACCTATGCTTCCAAATCTATAAATAAATCTATACATCCTAGACCCTAAACCGCCTAAACCCTATTGGCCCTCAAACCGTAGCGACAGGCAGAGCTTGACATGCAGCTTGTCCATGCACTCATGAGGTATGCGCTCTGTACAGCAAACCTTTTGCCCTAAACCCTAAACCCTAAAACCTCTGCCCATGCAAACGTTTTGCCAGGCGGCACCACCCCAAAACCTTCGCGGGTAAAGAGGAAATGCAATAACAGGCGGTACTTGGCGACGATCTTGGTACTCAACCCAGTGCTACGAGTACCCATGGACACGCGGTGCGCGAGCTGGGGTTGAGGTCTTGACGCCCAGTGCGACATGCCACATGATGTGAAACTGATATAACCGTGACTTGAAAGGCCATGCTGCCATGGGACAGCATCAGATTGCACCCGAAGGAGCCGCCGGTTTCGGAGCCCTGTGTAGACACCCAAGAGGGTGTCTGCAGAATAAAGGATCGGGGATCGGGCTTGAGGGGGAGGCATGGGACAGAGCCCAGTCATTGAGCTTCTCTCAGGCTTGCAGGAACGTAGCAGCCAGCTCGAGACTTTTACACAGTTTTCACGGTTACAGAAACGTGTCGCTTCTGTCCAGGACTCCACCAGGTCATGCACGCGCAGCATGGCAACCAGCATCTGATATTCCTCGAATATCTTGGAGCTGAGCATCGCCTCCGCTCCCTTGAGGTCGAGAAATGGATGGCTGGTCGGGTTTAGGGGTACAGGTATAGGGTTTGGGGGTTTAGGGTTTAAGGGTTAGGGTCTAGGGTGTAGGATTGAGGGGTTTAGGGTTCAGGGTGGGGCACAGCGCCACAACAAGTACGCACAGCATGTGTAGCCAGTACTCGCCATGACCGAATCTCAGCTAAAGGCTGAAGGTGCAAAGCCCCAAATCGTCCCTTGCAACCCTGATCCCTAAACCCCCACAGGCCCCTTTAAAATAACTCGTCAAGTTGCGTTAAAGGAAAATTGAAGGAAGCCTGAAGCCCATCTGCTCTGAGATCTATAGAGGACCATGGTAACCCTCGTGCAGCAACCCTATTCTAACCCACCCCTCCCCCCCGAAACCCAAACTCCCGAAACCTTGGAGGCTTTCAAAGGGAAGATACAATCCTTAATTCCCCAATAAGCCAGGGAAGTAAAAGGTTAAACTTTCAGATTACCACTAAACTGTAGTAAGAACCCAAAACGTTTAAAGGGTAGGTCTTGGGGAGCTAAGAATCTGAACCCCTGATGGATAAACCCCACTCTTGAAGGGCTTGGATTGTTGGATCCCGGCAGGCTTGCTTGTAATCAAACCTCTACGCTCACGTCTTCGGGCTGTATTTGTACACCGTGCTAGTCTAGGGATATCTCAATATGAGGTTTCATGGGGTTTCCCAAAATAGGGGACCATAATACTACCCCGAATAGTAGGGTCCTTATTGTAAGGACCACATATCTCATCTCAGTTCTTATGCCCGTTACGACACCGTAGAGCAGCATCTAAAAGATCCTTCAGTCACCTCGAAACCTAAACACGAAGCGCAAACCCATAAACCCCGATCCCGAAACTGTCAACCCTATAAATCAATTCTAGGGGGATTCTTGTCGAACCCTAAACCCTAAACCCTAAACCAACCCCAAGATGGAAGTCTTTGCAATCTTGGCTTTTGACCGGCAGAGCAGCAAGAGTTCCAGTCGTCCAGACGGTATTCCTTGCAAGGGCTGGGAGCTCTTTGAGGTGTAAAACCCTAAACCCTAAACCCTAAACCGTGGTTTAGGGTTTAGGGTTTAGGGTTTAGGGAATCCCTGAACACCCTAAGCCCTAAGGGTCCAAGTACCTAATAATCATATACTCCCGAATAGCAACCTACATAACTACTATCCGAAACCTAAGTACCTGATTATTGGGTCCTTCGGACTAAACCCCATGATGAAAATCGAAATGGTGGTTTCGGGGAGGCGAGAAGCCGGAATTTTATACTCTAGTGCTTGAGTTTGACTTGGATGGATTCGGGGTTCAAGCACAGGTTTTGGTGTTTTGTCACGGTTAAGGTCGGGTTTTGGGATGCGGGGCTTCACGGCTTTATCGTGACATAGAAGGTTTCTGTGAGAGCTTTAAAGGGCTCCAGTGCGCTTTTTTGGTACCAACAGATCTGCCAAAGCCAAAGCTTCAAGCCCCGACAGGAAGCCCTAAACACCAAAACCCCTAAACCCTAAACACCCGCAAACCCTGGGCCCTAGAGCCCCCAACCCCAAACACCCTAATATAGGGGACTTAATGATTACCGATACTATTTTGGGGGTTCCTTGTTATAATTACAGAATAACAATTAATAAAAAAACACCCAAACCCTATTCTAATTATTAAGGCCCTATAGTAAACCCGAAGCCCCCCTAAACCCTAAACCCTAAACCCTAAACCCTAAACCCTAAACCCTAAACCCTAAACCCCTAAACCCGAAGCCGGGTCCCATGGCCACTCTCCGCACTGGCTCGGTGCGG